TGATCAGCCACTTGTATGCTGGCATGCTGTTTTGTTTTGTTTTTAATTCACACCGTGTGCGTAATTCAAACCTTCTGCTTGTTCTTAATGGGATAATAATTCCAAATGAACTCATTTTGACAGGAAAATACAACAAACAATATCATTTACAAGAAGCATGTCAATTCTATGTGAATGCTCGCAAAAGAAATGTTAACAGTAGAACGACAGAAATGCATAGAATGTGTGAATGACCACATATGTGAATTCAGAGTTACTGAATGAGTGTTTAACATTGATGTGCATTGATCTTTGTGTTGACACTGTTACTTTTATATAGTTATATAATGGTTTACAAAGATTTACAAACTGATTTATTGTTGATTTTGGCAGATATGCTCAACCACACAGAAAAATTAAGTGAAGCTCCTCCCACAACAGTATCACCTTCAGTGAAGCTCCTCCCACAACAGTATCACCTTCAGTGAAGCTCCTCCCACAACAATCACACCTCCAGTGAAACTCCTCCCACAAGCACATCTTCAGTGAAGCTCCTCCCACAGCAATCTCACCTTCAGTGAAGCTCCTCCCACAACAGTATCACCTTCAGTGAAGCTCCTCCCACAACAATCACACCTTCAGTGAAGCTCCTCCCACAACAATCACACCTTAGGTGAAGCTCCTCCCACTGCAGTTCATCAATAAATGCTGGAATATTCCCATCAGTCTACAAGTGAAGACGAGCATCAAAGCATCAGGAAGAAGTGAAATCTGCAGAGACAGAGTTTATTGAAGGACAGAGAGAACATGAGAGATCCAGAACCCTGCAGAATGAAACACACTGAAGAACAAACAGGTTGGTGTTTATTCTTGATCCTTCATCAGTGAAGCTGAAGAACAATAAGATGATAAACATCAAGCAGTTTTAATTTTGTTGCAGTAGGATAAAATGTAAAAGCTGTGCAATAATATAGTTAAAGCAACAAATAATAAAGACACATTTTATAAACTAGGTAAATAAAAATTTTAATCAATTTATGTAAGATAATTGTGTAGTTGGAATGTTTCAGGGTCAATGCATCAAAATGATAAAAACATTTATATAGCAATTGCCAGTGGTGGACAGTAACGGAGTAGTTTTACTTTGTTACTGTACTTAAGTACATTTTTCAAGTATCTGTACTTTACTGGAGTAGTTTTATTTTGAGTAACTTTTACTTTTACTTCACTACATTCCAAAGCATAAGATCGTACTTTTTACTTCACTACATTTCATAAAACATATCGTTACTCCTTATAATATATCACGTGCTCTGACACGCAGAAGCGGTGTCTGATTCAAGAACGAACTGATTCTTTTCAAT